ATGAGAAAATCGGGATTTTTGAGATATTTGTGTAGGAATCATCTAGAAGGACTAAAGTGCATATAAAATCAGAAATAAAATCAATTTTGGGGTAAAGGGGTAGTTTTCAGAAGTTAAAGGTTTTATAAAATAGAGAAAATATCTGAAATTCGACACTTGTCCCTTATTCAGTTGAAAAAGATGCCTATACCTTAAATTTAGCTGACAGATTCCCTCACACTCCTCTGATTTTTCCTCTCATAAGAGCACATGCTCACATTCTATAAAGGGACTCCTCCTCCTCTCATTTTACACAGGCTATTTTCTGCATACAGACTTCACACATGAAAACACTCTCTGGAAATTCACACTCGTTCCTCCATTTTTGAGACTGGTTTCCACACATAATTTCTGCATTTTTACACTCATAAGTTTAGAAGTTTTGGTTTTTTTTAACCCTTGGTCTTCTTAAGTTGGATCTTGATCTGAAGTTGAAGTTTATTCTGGAGTTTCTTCATTGATGTTTTCCTGCTTACCTGCTGCTGTTTTTTCTGAGTTTGATGAGTTCCTTTCTTTGGTTTTCTAACCTTTATTTGGTCTCAGTTCTTTGATTTCTACTTTGGGTATGTTGAAATCTCATCTATGGTGTCTTTTGGAAACATATAATAAAATTTGAATTATTTTTCATATTAAATCACATGTATCCTAATGTTTGAGTTTGCTTACCAGTTCATGTTCTTCTTCTATGTTCATGATTGAGTTGTTTATGTTTTAAGTTTAAAATTATGAGTTCACATCACTTTAGAATCAATATAGCACATGTTGGGGCTTGATTTGTTCTTTAAAGTTTGATCCATGTTTTTAGAAGGATTTCTATGATGAAAATTAACTATAACATGTTATTATTCATTTGATAGGCACGCATGGGTCATCTGTTTTACAAGGATAGTCCAATGACTTCTTCCTTGTAAATTAAGAGGCTTGGTTGGACAACAATGGGGAATTTACACCCCAAGAGCATGTTGAATAAATATTAATATTCAAACAAGGATTGTAAGAAGCAGTAATATAGGTGCTTATTTCATGTCTTGATATTCTGATTAGCGTATGTATAGAATCTGGAAATTTGAGGGAAAAACAAGGAGGGATTCAATCGCATATTGTATTAATGCACTTATTTTAGAATTTAGTTTAGAATTTGAAGGTTGTTCTTTCTAAGTTGAATGATCTATATGTATTAAGTTGGAAATGAGTTTGAAGTGACTTAGTAGTTCATCAATTATTGTAATTAGTCAATAAATTAGAATTAACATCTCTACTATGATCTCAGTAATTTAAATCATGTTAGTTTTTGAATGAATTGATTTCTCCTTGAATATTGGGCCTTTTCTTCTTAAAAGCTAATGGGCTTGATCGTCCGCCTGACTGAGATCGCTTGTTTGACCCAAGGTCAAACCGCCTTGAACTTCATATTGCTTGGGCTTAACTTAAGCCCATTAAGAGTCTGCATCTTTGTGCGTACCACTCCAAAAAGGATGTGATGTTTTGGGCTTACATTTAAATTCATCGGAATTCAATTGGACCCAGTTGAAGGTCCTAATATGAACACCTGTCCAAACTTGACCGATAACACTTGTCCCCTTTAATCTTGACTAGCCAATGTTCTAGAAAGAGATTTATAAATAATAGGGGCTTCTCAGTAGTTTTAAATTGATTGTTCAATTTCTTCCAATGCTAATTTGTGCAACGTTTCATATATTAACAAACCAATCTCCGACTTTGTTTCATTTATCAAAACCCATATAGTCTTAATTTATAAATGCTTATGCACTTTACTCCCAAATAATTCCATAATTCCGAGCTTTTCACAATAATCTCAAATTAGATTAGGATAATAACCATGAACATCCGTAGTTGCTTTAGGCGCGTAATTAAATCATCACGGTTATGGGTACGGTTCCTGTGGCACAGTCGTGATACATAATCCCCAATTCGGGCGCGCATTTCATGTGACCTGATCATAACTTCGAACAATAATAAAAATAAACATGTTGTAGATCGTGGGTACGTTTTCCGTGACATGATTCGCAATGTGTACAGAAACAAACCAGTGTACGACATCGTATCTTGTTTTAGAAATAATTACATAACTAATTAAAATCAGTTAAAATGTAAAAATGCACAATAGGTTTTGAACATGTAATAAATCAGATAATTAGGCCAAATATTAATAGTTGAGCGATCGTGCCAAAACCACGGAACTCGAGAGTGCCTCACACCTTCTCCCGGTTAATAGAATTCCTTACCCGATTTTCTTTGTTCCGCGGACCAAAAATAGAGTCAATTTTCCTCGATTAGGGATTTAAAATAAATCGGTGACTTGGGACACCTTAAATTATTTCAAGTGGCGACCCTGAAATTGAAGAAATAATCACATTTTCGATTAATGTCACTTTAATTGGTAAAACTCCCTATCCCTATCTCTTCGGAAAAAGGAGGTATGACAACTTCAAGCTGTGAAAAAGCCCAATCTATCTTGATTGTCATTGTGAGAAGACACCTTATGGTTGTCATTTTGACAACAGGTGAAAAAGTCTCAAAATTCTCTCTTTGAATATCCCCCTTTACCACCAATCTAGCTTTCAACCTTTCCACTGAACCATATGCCTTGTGTTTGACTTTAAAACCCGATTTACAAGGCAATGACTTCTTACCTAGTGATAAATATACTACATCCCAGGTATGGTTTAGCTCAAGAGCAACAATTTCTTATTGCATGGCTTTCTGCCATCCTGGATGAGTAGAATCTTGTGCATAAGTGGCAGGTTATGATATAGATTCTATCCCCTTAACAATTGATTTTTCACTGATAACTCCCCAAAGAAAATTTAGTGGATATAGAGGTTTGTGCAAGACAAGAATTGGTGAAATCTGAGAGATAGATGCTATTGCATATGAGATATGCTGGTTTTTGGCTAATCCTATCAGATTCTCTTAGAGGTGGTGATAGAACGGGAATTGGTGTGCTATAGTTGTGTTGAGGTGAAGGGGTGTTACTTTGGTAGGAAGACTGGTTAGGACCGCTGTAGGTATTTTGAGTAGGAAAAGGAGAAGAGGATGGACTGTCATCAGAAGGTAAACTAGAGAAAAGACGCATAGATGAATGAACAGGGCTTGGTGGAGAGGAAATAGAACTGGAGGTGGTTTGTGAGTGTGAGTTAGGAGAAAAATCAGAAGGAGACACAACTTGTACTCCCGAGTTCAGCACAAATGGAGTATCAGGAAAGAAAGTGCTAGGTGAAGTGATTTGCATGTTAGTAAAAGGAAAGTTATTTTCATAGAAAATGACATCTCTAGAGACAAAAACTATGTTACTACTTAGTTCTAGAAGCTTGTAACCTTTTTGATTGTATGCATAACCCAAAAACACATATTTGTTGGCTTTACGATCAAATTTTCTTCTGTTGTGTGCTAGAGTGGAAGCATAACAGAAACACTCAAAAGACCTTATGGAATCATAAATAGTTTTCTTCCCAAATAGCATCTCATAAGGTGTTTTTCCTTTAAGAACACTAGATGGAAACCTATTTATCAAATAAGTTGCAGTCAAAATACATTCTCCCCAGTAAAGAACAAGGACTTGTGATTGGAAGCATAGACCCCTGGAAACCTCCAAGAGGTGTCTGTGCTTCCTCTCTACAATCCCATTTTGCTGTGGGGTTGCTATACAACTCCTCAATTGAATAATACCTTGGCTTTCAAGAAAAGCTGCTTCTTGACTTCCTCTCCCTAGTTCCAACGTATTATCTGATCTTATCCTCTTTATCTTCAAATTGAACTGTCTTTCCACTATGATTAAGAAAGATCTCAGGACTAGAAATGCATTACTCTTGCAACTTAACAAGAAGGTTCAAGCAGCTCTACTGAAATCATCCATAATTGTTAAAAAATATCTAAAACTATTGTATGTAGGTCTTTTATATGGTCCCCAAGTGTCAACAGGAATTAGTTCAGAAGCAGTTTTGTTTTGATGTGACTTGTAGGAAATAGTAATCTAGTTTGTCTAGCTTGATGGCATATATCACACACCCGATCAAAATTTGATAGAAATTGAATGAAACTAAGATTTCTCATTACTCAAAATTACAAATACCCCAACCTGACATGCCATTGAAGTACAATAGAAACTGAATTAACTGACACTGAATTTTAAAAAGAAACATTACTAGAAACATAACTGGAATAACTTCCTTTTGGAATGGAAACTACATTTTGACCTAAGAATCTGCTAGAATTTAAATTGGTTGGCTGCAGCAGGTATAGTCTATATCTTATCCCACCAAAAGGTTGTCCTCTCCTCATTAAATGGACCTGCAACAGGCATCCAGTGGAGGTTAGATTTAGGGAACAACTAAATTGTACATAAAGTGTGTAAACTGATAAAATATTACACTTAAAAGAAGGCACATAGAGTACTCTTTGAAGAATCATATCAGGTTGGATGGGAAATCTTCCTATATGTGTGACATGCAATTGAAAAGAATTAGGGAGATTAATGTGCAAAGGCATAGGTAAGGGAGTTATCTCTAGGAAAGAATTGGAGTCAAAACACATGTGCTCAGACGCTCCTGAATCAATAATCCAAGTTTTAGTATGAAAAATTGCTAGACAAGTTCCAGAATATTTTAGTACTATACCAACCACAACATTTGCATCAATCTCTGTCCCTCCATTTCCTGTGTGTCCAATGTGCACCTATTTGATTAGGTTAACCAACTCTGAGAGTTGTTCTTTGCTGAAGTGTTGATTGAATCGTCCACTGATCCTTCACTAGGAGGATTATTAGCGCGGTCATCTTCCTTAACTCCATGTACTGTATTAGCCTTAGCTACTCCCTGATACATGTTTGATTTGGTGAACTGGAAGTCTTCTGGAAACCCTATCAGCCTTTAATAGTCTGCCCTGACATTTCTGTTCTCATACAATGGGTGAAACTCACATTAGGATTATATTTGGTCTTCCTAGCTTGAACTTTTGTTGAGTGTTTCCATATGTTTGTGATGCATTCCACGTGGACTCGTTGTTTGTGCACCTACCATAAAAGATGAATCATCACTGGAATACTGTGGGTTGATGTATCCTTCCTTTTGACCTTCATCCCGTAATAGCAAAGAATAAGCCACATCCATGATTATAAGAGGGTTCATCATCAATATGTTCCCACTTGCCTGACCATATGCATCATTAAGTCCCATAAGGAATTGGATGATCCTTTGATCTTCGATAAATTTGGCCTGCTTCTTCTTACCTTCACATACATAGTCACAAGTGCATCCTAAATGTGAATTTAAAGCCAGATCATCCCATAATTTTTTCAATGTGGTAAAGTATCCTGCTATGTTGTTATTTCCTTGTACTGATCTTTCTATTTTCTTCTGTAGGTGATATAGTTTAGCCCCATTTGACTGGCCAAATCTATGCTCAAGACTACCCCAAAGTTCCTTTGCACTTTTAGAGTAAAGGACACTGTCACCAATATTTTTGGACAGTAAATTGAGCAACTATAAAGTCACCATGTCATTGCACCTGCTCCAATGTGCATAGTCTTTGAAAGTCAAAGGTGGTGCAGCACAACTCCCATCTATGAAGCCTAGTTTGTTTTTGGCTGAGAGTGCTATAAACACTGGCCTTTTCCATCCGGGGAAGCCTCTTCAATCAAATGGTGAGTGGACAATGGTCATACCAGGTGCATTTGAAGAATGTAGGAATAAGGATGATTGGTGTCATGATTTGGTCCATTGTTGGATGAACCAGAGGCAATAACATCAGCAGGAGTCTTTGTTCCAGTCATGATTCAATGATTTAATTGAAGAAACAAAATTTGAGAGAGAGATTGAATGAATCGAGTTACTGGTCTGATGCCATGAAAGAAAGTAAAGCAGATTTGTGGAAATTCCGTATTATTTCACCACTATATATCAATATTTATACAAATAGCTATTCTAACAAGAAAGAGAAAGAATCTAATTATTTGTACATTTGTACAAATTCTATTGCTAGTTCTATAACAAAAATAATAATAATATTCATTTACAATGTATTAACATGTGCTTCTCACGTGAGAGAAGCTTCCTTTATATTCTCTTGTTCTAGTTGTCCAGAATTGTTAATCAAACGGATGAGATTTAGGTTCACTGAATTGTCAGGATAGATCCACGTTTAAAATCTAAAGGGCCCAAATAACAAAGACAACATAGAGATGTCTGAACCCTGTCTGTTGTGTCTCAAACCCGTCTGCTTCTCCTTCTCATTTTTAACCACACGTCTTCTTTGATTTTGAAGGTTCCGCAGAGAAATTATCATAGGACTTCTCTTTTCCACTATTGTCAGAGAGGGAAATTCAAATATTTTAATTTTCCCTCCATTTCCATTCACGCTTTATTTTTTTTAACAAGCTTAGACCCCACATAACTTTCGAGCAAATATTTGCAATTTCATTCAGCTAGTACAATTCAAAGGTTTAACATTAGTGTTTCATTTTAAAGTTCGGATATACAGTTAACTTGCTACTGTAAGCGCGATTTTTTTTTAAGAGAAAAATGTTTGGCTAAGGGAAAGTACGACTTGAAAAATAAAATAGAGCTCGATTGAGTTGGTCGTGTACTCGTGTCTATACCACAATCCACATAGTACGGGTGGAATAGTTGGTATCCTTCTGTTAATTTGATGTATCGGATTCGTACAGTATAAATTAATAACTTCTCAGTAAAGAGCGCTTTACTTAGATTCATTTCACGTGAATCCAAATTAGCCGGATTAGTAAGTTTCAGATACCGAATTAAAAAAAAAAAAAAAAAAAAAAAAAAAAAAAAAAAAAAAATTGATCATGTGTGTATGACGAGTGGATTATCTCAAAAGGATTCACTTTGTTCAATTTCCTAACACCAATTGGCTAATTTCCGCGTATTTTGGACGACACTGATTAATTTTATTTTTCAATATGAAACATTTACATTTGTAAATTTATAAAAAGGCTATTGAGCAAGTAAAAGGCAGGAAGAGAGAATGCACCATGTATGTATTAAAGTACGAATGAAAACATTTAAGATTAAGAGGGCAACTTATGCAAAAGTAAGCATAATGTATATAACATCTAGAGTTCAACTTTTTGTTGCTCATAACAACTGGGGTCTGGGGGGATCAGGGGACGCATACAACGTTAAAATTATACCACCTTCTTCGTCGAAAAATTATATA